TTAGACAAAGAGCACAGAAACCTTCTATTAAGCAACACAGTACTATAGTCAGTCGGGTGATAAATTTATGCTGACTTTTTGGTAGGTCCGCGCTGTCATCAGTAGGTTATCATCGATAAGTATGAAGATGCTCATCCCATTTTCACAGTGTTGCTATTTATTTCATACCTTATAAAGCAACAAAACTTGATAGCTGATGCTTCCCTGATGCGCCTATTCAACCTGTTACTTTTCTGAAGAAGTTTGGGCACTTTGAACTATAAGGACGTGCAACTTGCTGCATAGCTTCGTAGATCTTTTCACTTTGGATGGTTGGGGGGAGAGACTTTGTTTTCTTTCCAAATACTTCGCTTCCACGTGTCGTTCACCTTCGTCCTTGATCATTCATCTTCTCCAGATTGATAGATGAATCTTTGTCCTTTGAGTGACGATGTTCCCTGTGTCTCCTGTTAATTACTTTCCGCAGTTAGATGGTAATTTACAAACCTAGCGTAGACAGTTGTTAATCCTAGCCTCAGATTATTTAGGCATTAAAATTGTTCAAACTAGTGCATTGCGTTGATGTTACATGTACTGGTCGCTAACCTCTAACTTTTTACGTAAGAGGGAATAATTTTCAGGTCATTATTACACGGTTTATTGTGTTGTTGGCAAACGAAGGTTACTGCTATTGCTTAGAGACGATTTGATATATTTTACTTCTTTGTTAGTTTTATAGCGATTACCAGAGTTATTTATCATGATGCATTGAATATTTAATCGATCATTATTGTTACTGTGATTTCTTGTTAATGAGGACAGATTTAGTTTTTATTAAAGCAAGCATGCAACAAATTAATCGTTATTAAGTTACAGTACGTCCTGTTGCATTTCTTCATTTTTTAAGTAATGCGCCTATTTTAAGGTTCAAAATTGTGCGACGTGTACGCGGCAGCCGTAGAAGTTCTTCGCGACAATAGACCTGAACTTATCGAAAAGTTTACGAAGAATGTTGGGTAAGGTTAACAGCATGTCCAATGTTTTAACCCACGATATTTTGCAATTTTTTATATTTCTTCAGACGCATTGTAGGCAAATCAAATAACTCATGCAAAAAACTTTTCTTTATAACAGAATATTGTAAATTGCTTTTGAAATTTCCTTTTATTTATGCTCTGAGTATTTTATATTTTACGGTTTTTATTCCAAACAAAGGACACAACACATATCCAGAATGGTACATAGTGGTGGAATGCGGACGTGTACGTGACCCTACAACAAAGGAAAGAGCTGTTCAAAGAAATGCCAGCTATCAAGCACAGAAGGCAGAGTAAAATATGCCTTATTGAAAAGGGAGGCAAAGAAAATTGTTGCCGATACAACGTGCAAAGCTTATATGACCAACTGGCAAAGAGGGAAAGGGAGAAAGATATCTATCGCATGAAAAAAGTCAGAGAAAGAAGAACAAGAGACGTCGTTAATGCGAAGTGCATAAAAGACGAAAGCGGAATGGCACTGACTGACGAGAAGAACAATATTCGCAACTGATGGGGAAGGCACTTCCAAAGGTTACTAAACGAAAAACATCCCAGAGAGGTCGCGGGAGAGATCCCACAAAACCAGGGTCTAGTAGTAAAGATCTCACCCGAGGAAGTAGAACAGGCCTTGTGCAGAATGAAAAATGAAGAAGCCGTTGGCCCGGACGGAGTTCTGATAGAAGCATGGAAAACAGGGCGTGGCTTGGCTCTGCGTTCTGTTCAACAAAATTATGGAATTTGAAAAAATGCCTGATTCATGAAAGCAGAGTGTTTTTATGCCATTGTACAAAATGAAGGGGGACATGCTGGCCTGTGAAAACTAGCCGGTTATTAAAGTGGTTAGTCACACTATTAAGATATCCAATACGTTGCTGGGCAAAAGACTGAGGATATAAGTAGATATCACCGTGAACCAATTTGGCTTTATGCCATACCGATCAGCTACGGATTCCTTCTTCGTTTTATGATCAGTTCTTGAAACATACAGAGAAGGCAGACAGGGCATTTAAGTTGTGTTCTTAGACCTGGAGAAAGCTTTTGACCGAATCTCTAGGCAGGCAATCTGATGGAGCACGAACAAGAAGCTGGTGCCAAAAAATGTCAGGCCTATCAAACGTACAGGATGACAACGATGGTTCGAAATAAATGTCGCGAAACGGAGGAGTACGTATGTGGGCAGGAGTCCATCAAGAATTCGCACATACCTGATTTCTCTTCTCGGTGTCGATAGACGCGATAACTGAGGATCTTCAAGAAGCAGTCCTATATTGCATGTTCTATTCAGACGACATTGTGTTCTCCGGCGAAAACAGAGAAGCTCTAAAGCAAAGCTCGAGGCATGGAGAAAATTTCTTGAAAAGAACATCCTTCGACTCAGCAAAGGCAAGTCAGAATATATCGCGGGCTATTTCAATGGGAAAACAGGTTGAAAGCCGTCAAAGCAATAAAAGTATCGGTGAACTTGCTGCCTGAAACCCAAAAAATCAACTGCCTTGGTTCTATCCCAGGTTGATAATGCGGAAATCGGTAGTGAAATAAGAAATGAGTTGAAAAAGGCTTGGCTGAAATGGGGAGAAGTGAGCGGAGTTCTGTGCGACAAGAAGATGTCCAACAAACCGAAAGAGAAGGTGTGCAGAACGATATTTATAGGGAATGACAGTGCTTCTGTACGAAATGGAATGTTTGGCTACCCTGAAGAGACATGTGTAATAGCTGAACTGGTAGAAATATTGATATTTGTGTGGGTAAAAGGCAGTTTCAGAAAAGCTCATCGAAAACAGGCTCCTTTGGTAAGGTAGCGAGAAAAGAAGATCCATCGAGTACGTTGGAAATGTGCCGAAACACTAATACTGCTAGAGAAGAAAACAAAGGAGAAGACCGAAGAAAGGATGTCATCAAGGACGATGAAACTGCGAGGAGTCACCGAAGATTTAACCACGAACAGAAAAATGTGGAGTTTAGCGCGATCAGCGGACCCCTGTTAAAGGAATATGCGAGGAAAACGAAGATATTAATTCACTTTTGGCCTTTAGGACTAGGAATTATTCCACCCCATTAGTTCACACGGCATTATATGGCATTGTCCTTTTGTTGTTTGGCTCTTAGGGTGCCATTTAAACGGTCCTCCTTACAGTGGTATTAACAGTGGTATTTTAACACTTGTAGGGTACCATACAAACGCATGGTGATATCTTGTATCAATTTATTCGTTAAAGTGATACTTTGTTTTTACTGTCATTTTAATCATATTTACGTTACGACAACCCATGTTCAAACCTGGGTATGCACCCGCGCTCATCGATGGTCATAAGTATCAGATGTTTGATGTATACAAAGAAAGTGTACAGTTGTTGCTATGTCAGTCTTCGTTACACTTTTATGATGGAGCCATTTATGATGCTCTTCTTTTCATGAAGTCAGTGGCGGTACATTGATTTCGATTTCCACGCTATCAGCCAGGAGTTCCTTATTTTTAAGGACAGAGTCTACTACCATGCTGCCAGCATAGTAGTCTTCTGTTTCCTTTCTACAGACTAGTACTCAGTTATCAACCTCGGAAAGAAATTCGAATAACTGGACCGTCCTCGAAACCTGTACCTCTTGGTTCTGAGTCAGATGCTGTACCGACTAAGAAACCACGGTCTATTTGATGTATAGCCATTATCGGTTGTAGCTATCTGTTAGATAAGTGGGCGATTCTTATAAACATTGACGTGAGTTGCATTATTGGTTTACGATAGTACAATTTGCAGCGTATTATCGTATGCTTCCTCTTTCATGCTCAAGGGGCCGTTTAGGCACGCCAAACTTCTTCTTTTAGTCTCTGCAATGTGCCAGCGCATTTTGCATCATTTTTTTGAATGAAGGACTATCTTGATTCGAAGTTCTGTTTGATTCTGCGCCATGTACTTTATACTTTAGGTGATATTCCCATTCAGTGAGTTTTGACACAAAACCGAGCTTGATGCTAAAATCTCTGTTACATATTGTCAACGTTTTGATCTCTCAGCAACAGCCTTCTTCAGATAAAACAGATAGAGATTTCTAACAGCATTACGAAATATCTTTTTTGTCGTTATTATTTTTCTCTCGTTACTGATGTTATAAATGTTTCATATATATCTGATTGACACATGACTTTAGATTTGGAATGGGAATCGAGTTTCGTGAAAGTTCCCTTCTGATTAATGCGAGAAATACGGTTTCGGTCGAAAGCGGTGAGTGCTTTCTCTGTTGATGTGTTTCGTTCTTGCCATCTGTTTCTTCTATTGTTTGTTCAGGCATGGTCTTCAATATCAATGTAGGCATCGCCGATATTGAGAATAAAACAGCGAAAGATGATGCAGGGAAAAAAGTGGCACTTTTCCTTGGTGATACCGTCATGATCAACGAAGTTTGTTTTTGTTATTTCTGTTACATGACTTCGTATATTTGGGTCACAAGTATATATGCAATTTAAATATATAATAATTTCATTAGTGTGGAGAGTCCGGTAGGAACAAAATATTTTTCAGTAGTAGTCAGCGACTACATGAGTATCCTTGGTATTTGAATATCTGTAGTGTGTCAGATGAGGTACAACATCTGAGTTGAAATGAACAAATTCTGTAAAATGAAGTGATTTTATATCCTTACTGGTATTGACAAAATGCGTAACGATTCTAACAGTACAGCATAACAGTGTTTGACACAGTGAAATGTGCAGTTAGGTTATTTAGTTATAGTAGATAGATCAGAATGTATTAAATGCAAACGGGCGTGAAGTACATGTAAATATAGCAGAATGAAAATTAATGAACTCGATTACTTCGCTTTTTCCCATTTGACAGATCGTTTCTTTGACCATTTACGTCGCCTTCGTTGCAGTTTATGTCTCTGCTTGATATTTTCTTTATCATGGATTATACACTTATTGAAAGTGCTAGCCAAAATCTCAGCGCGAGATTGCTTTACCTTACTTGTCCTCTCAACTTAGGATTTCTATGTTAGCCTTGCATCAGAGGATTGTTGTGTCTCGTCCTTTTTCTTTTCCAAGTTTTAAGTATGAAAAAGTAAAGTGTTCCCTTCAGATTCCAGAATGTTTTCTACACTTATTCCCTCATGTGTTTCGTCGATAGCTTGTGATTTACTATTCGATGTTTTCACACTAGTGTGTCGTTTTTCTTAAGCTGAAGAAAGTATCGTTCCTGAAGGGCGACGCATGTGACGATGAGTATTACGCGAAGCCTATTTTCTCACTTGATGGTTATTATGCAACACTGTATCGAAACTTTGGTTCTTCATTAGTCGTCTACGGAAGACAGGATTTATAAAGAATTCATCTTGTCCCTCAGATCTGCAGACGAATATATAATGTCGACTAAAGGTTGTCCGGGTTCCATTGTTTAAATCGATTTTACCAAGCAACCAGTTAAGTAGACAGTTGCATTAATTACTTATTTCTTGTCATCTAACAAAGGTGATAGAATTATAAAGTTCTTTCTTAGCGCTGTCATTGTGACTGATGTACCTTATTCGGCGTTTTTGTTTAGGAAGGTGCGACGAGTTTGACGGAGGCGGCTAAAAAGCGAGTTAAACATATTTGCATGTTTTTCAAGGTATCGTGTTTGTGTTGACATTAAACAGATTTCAGTAAATAACACTCGTTCACCGTAGAGCGGAGCAGAGGAGAAGGACGAGGGCAATAAAGAGAATATCAATGATTTGTTGAGCAGAACAAAGCGTTCTGTGGTTTTGCAGGAGCAACTAAGAGTAATTTTTGAAGCAAACTTCGCTTCGAAACGAATTTTTTCAAGCAGTGCACAATGTTATAGAAAAAGCAGTCGGGCGAAGAGCGACGTAAACAGCATCAGAAAGACCTGGCTGAACAACTCAACAAAAATGCTAAAGAGCGACTGGCATTAGCCAAGGACTTGGTCATGGAACCGAAGTAATCATCGTATTCTTAAGGTTTAATATATGTATAATTTACTTGGCGTATAACTCCCCCAAGACTAGATTTTACGACGTAATCTACCGCACCACTCTTTTACAAGTATGCAGGTGAACTATTTAGGCAGGTGACGATTATTTGTTAACTGAGCATTATAACTAATGTAATATATTCAATATTACATTAGTTATAATGTAATATTGAATATATATATATATTGAACGTCAATACAGTATATAATATGTGTAAGAAGTAGTTGCTGTCATCTGTATTCGTTTTATTATGCAAGCCATGTAGCATACTTGGTGCATAATTTGTATTTTATACGGTATAAACTACATTACACTGCTGTTGCCATTTATGTGCATGTAAAGCATATAAATGTTTACTGTTAATGTTTTGTAGTAGTTCTATATCACTTATGTATTTATGCTATACTTCTGGCAGAACGTTGTAGGGAAGGAATTTCGCTACACAGTGGAATTAAATATAGCTTACTGTCCCAGCACATTCTGTCGAAATGTATGAATGGATGTCTTTCTGTACATAATTGCTGTAAAGAACGTTCAGGGTAGTAGCGAACCTTATTCACAGAACCTCGTTGACCATTTCATGACCAAAAAGAACACTACAGTTCTCCACCTTTTACGCGACCCATTATCATTGTAATCATTGTTGACATTTTAAAGAGATCAGGCAACCGAGTGCTCTAACTTTTGTAATGCTGCCCTAGCGTATACCTCCCGCGAAACCGTTTTCTGGAATTATCTGGGAAAGTTGAGATATGCATGGGAAGCTTATCCCAAACCAAGCTGTCTTCTGAATTGGGCATTCCTGTCTGACAAAATTTTCATTCTGCGTAGGGTCATGGAGCCGTGTCGATGATTCCGGCTGCCCCGGTTTGCCACTTCCCTAAACTTTCAATCTGCATCTGATTCGTTGCGTCATCCGACGATGTGGAGAATCCTAAAGTGCTATGGATTTCCTGAACGCATTGTTTCCATTATGGAGGAGATGTTTGCTGAATCCAAGTCTTCTGTCAAAGTCGAAGGAGACTACCTGAGTGGTTCCCTATTAAGTTGAGTTTGTCAAAGAGATCTGTTTTCGCCTTTGCAGTTCAACATTGT